CGCACAACATGATCTACTCGACCACCATTATGGTTACCGCCAAAAAAAAAACAGAGGTAAACAAAAAACGGTTTATCTGGTTGCCGAGTTCACCAAGTGAATTGGCTTGTTGAAAACGTCGTTGCCAAGCGACGAAAACCGAACCCCGATGGCAAACACCGGGGGGGGCGGCTTGTTTTGCAACGTTGTTGCCAAGCGACGAAAACCCAACCCCGATGGTAAACACCGGGGGGGGGGGAGGGGATTGGCTGAAAAAAATTCAATCCGGCACGTATCACGCCACTCGGTCCGTCTCTTCTCGTTTGCTTTCTTCCCTCCCCGTCTCGTCCGTCTGCTGCCCCCTTCCCGCCCCATTGGTTGTTGGCTTGTGTTTTCGTTTGAACGCTCATTGTCGGCTGGACTCTTCTTCCTTCTCGTGCCAGGAGGTCATGAACCTCTCAGCTCCCTGCAGCACCGCCTCATGCCAGGGTACTCCCCCCTCCACCTTCGCGGCTTCCGTCCTCTCAAACTTCGGTGCCGTGTCTTTCGGTACTGGGATTCTGAGACAACATGGATCGGTTGTCGTCGATGGTCGGCCCTGAATGCCTTCAGGTCGTCGAGCACACACTTCGGCCAGTTCTGTTCCTGTGCCCTCCTACTTCGCTTCTCCCCCCCCCGGGAGTTCGCCGAGCACCAGTCGTTTCGGGAGTCGCCCGTCCGGCTGCCTTGCNTCTCAAACTTCGGTGCCGTGTCTTTCGGTACTGGGATTCTGAGACAACATGGATCGGTTGTCGTCGATGGTCGGCCCTGAATGCCTTCAGGTCGTCGAGCACACACTTCGGCCAGTTCTGTTCCTGTGCCCTCCTACTTCGCTTCTCCCCCCCCCGGGAGTTCGCCGAGCACCAGTCGTTTCGGGAGTCGCCCGTCCGGCTGCCTTGCCAATGCTCCCGCGAACAGTAGGCGTCGTTGTCGGATCGTGGCTTCGACGCAGCGTCTGGGCGTAGGAAAGCGGCCGGTAGGTGTCTTTCTTGCGCTTGTACCCAATAATTCGAGGGAGCAGTCGGTGGTGTACCGACCGCAGCGTCTGGTAGTGGCCGCTGAGTGGTGACCATGTCATGCAGCCGTACAGCAGTGCCTCTATCGCCTCCGCCTGGAGTAGGCGGATCTTGAGTCGGAATGGCGCTTTCGGTCTATCGAAGAGCTCCTGGCCATATCGCCCGAGGAACGCCCACGCTCCTCTGCTCCTGAAGTTGATCTCCAGGGTGAGGTCGCCATGTTCGTTGACGAGACCGCCGAGGTACCGGAACTCGGTCGTCTGGGTGTATTTATGTCCCGCGGCTTCGATGGTCAGCGGTGGAAGCGGGCGGGGCTGTGGTGTTGAAGTCGGCTTGTCCTTCGCGCGCATCAGGTACGACGTTTCGGCACCACCTCGTTGTCGCCTCAACTAATACCACCAAGGATCAATCGCGCACGTCCGTCCTCGAAGGTTTCATCTACCCAGACAGCAACACAACCCTCTCTCCTACCCAACTATTGTCGGTCGTGCTTCGACTCGGATGTCACGTAACGTTGCCTGCATTCCTCAGCTCCCGTTATTTTTTTCGGCCAGCGTTGTTGAGAACCGAAGTGCCCATGGCCTGTTTGAACCCGTCGGTCTCTCGGAGCACGTGGTAGAGATTCTCTTCAAGCAGCGTGCCTACCTCGTTAGCAGCCCCATCTAGACTGCGAGCTGCATTGTCCT